AAATCCAAAACAAAGCCTAAGCAGAAAGCAACTCAGAATTCTGTTTCTGTGAATGGCCTCCTCGGGAAGCTATCAGAGCAACCAAAACCACCATTATCTTCCATTCCTAAGTCTAATGAGGTACCTACAAATACCAATACAAAGGAAAAGGATGAGTATGGCCTGGGAGGATTGGATGATCACGAGCCTATTGATTTGTCCAACCTGCAGCTACCTGGAATTGATGTACTCGGTGTTGGTGATGACCAAGGTCAGGATCTCGGTTCATGGTTGAATATTGATGATGATGGATTACAAGATCATGACGACTTTATGGGTGGCCTTGAAATTCCAATGGATGATCTCTCGGACTTGAATATGATAGTTTGAAGCTGCCTTTTTTGTATAGTCCTGTTCAGTATACCAATAACAAAAGCAAACAAAGTACGTTGAAGAAATGACTAGTTACATAGGATGGTCTTGTGGCTAATCCCGTCCACAATTAGGTTATATAGATTCTTTGGTAGATTATGCCCTCCAAGTTGTTTTTGAGTGACCTTTCCAGCTGTTTCGGATTTTGCTCGTGTTCAAGTTCATGACTTCCACTGTAAAGATCTTTTTGTTCCAAGGTACAACAAGTTAGCATTCCTAGTAATTATATCTTAGCAAACACTTCCTGGTTGTAGCTCTTACAAATCAGAGAACAAGACCTCTTGTACATACATTTAATATTTCTAATAAAATCAGCTTTTCATTTGCTGAAATTACACCTGGCTGGCCACTCCAATGATCCCCTTCCCTCTCCCCTTTGCTTTGGTTTTCTTTTGGCGTTTTGCTTTTTGCAGATACATACTCAATGTGATGTAGTACGAGTGGTTTGCTGCTGTAACTTCTTCATCCAGGTAGTATCCACTTTATTGTACGACGTTTTCTAGGAAAAACTATTACTGATGTTAATATGATCAACTGATTTTTGTCTACGTTACACCAGATAATCCAGCTAATATGAGGCAGATTCTGGGAATATCATCGACCAGTCTCCAATTAAGGTTTGGAAGTAATAAGGACTAGACATTTTACATGATATTTTAATTACCCATTCTTGTTGATTTTAACTTGAGATTCTGTAGATGGATGAATTACAACTTTTTAAGATTGAAGGGAGATCATCTTGAGTATTTCGAATATTCTTGATAGGATTCACCTTTGTAAAAAATTACCAATATGCAAGCGACATTTCTTCCCTGACGAAAATGGGCTGCAGCTCCTTGTATGCGAGGAGGTAAGCTTTGAATCTTTGCTGGCCTTCCCAACTTCCAGCTTTCTATTTGAAGAGACTATACTATGTTATTGTAGTAAAATTGCAGTGGGACATCAACCGCGCTAATAATTTGGTTACTATCCATTGATTAGTAGCATGTGCCACACATGGATTATCTTCCTCCTTAAGCCTGACTTTCTCCATGTAATTATATATTCTATGTTGTTGGAGCCAGGGTTTTCCATTATATTGGGACTTGATGTCAATTTTGAATGCGCGGTTTTAACCATAAACAAGTCAACAATTAAGTTTTTAATTCTTACATTGCTGTCTGCTTCAAAATTAAGAATAGTGCAACAAAAAATAAAAACAGATAATAGGATTTGTATAGGGTGTGTTTGAATTGTCGGTAGGTTACGTTCAGTGGAAAAGCTTTGAATGTAAAACTCCGTTGAACGGAAAAGCTTTGTGATTTTAAAATTCCGTTGAACAAGCTTTGTAAATCGAGAATAAACTAGAACAAACATACATATAGTAGTTGTGAAGTGTAGTTTATGTTCTGTCTATTTTGTCTATCTATAGATATCTGCATATTTTTTAAACTAATATTGAACACTGTATTCCCATGAATCTTATTGGTCTTCCTGGATGTGGCTTGACCTTCATTCGTAGTGTATGACTATCATAAAAGATTGATTATAGATTAGATAATTAAAAGATGACATTATTGTTTAAAATATATATTACAATATTTATATTTACTAATTATTTAATAAACCATTGTAACAACAAAAAATATTAATTTACAGTAGTATAATATTTTGTGATACTGTGCTATTATGACTATTAAATTTAAAATATAAACTAAAATGAAAAATAATAGAAATGTAAATTTTATAAAGAAACAGTAAATGTTGTAGAAAAATTAAATTAGATATTTTTGACAAAATCATGGGAAATAAACACTAAAAATAATATATTAATCTAACTAAATCAATATGATAACAGTATTAATACTAAAAGTAATATAATTGAAGAAATGTGTTTAACGGACTTGAGAAAGTAGAAAAAAAAATAGTTTTATGTTAAAATAAATTAGTAAAGTGTTTTACGGTGAAAAATAACGTGATACAAAATTATTTGTTTTCTTGTGCCGATACACAGAGCTCGGGGAAAAATATTACATAAATAATATTGAAATGGTTCTAATAAAATGCATATGAATTTAAGATTGCTCTGCCAATTTATTAAAATATTTTTTTATCTGTAGAAATAATTTATAATCATATAATATTTCACTTTTTTTTCCCTAATGTAACAGTGCCATATACGAATAATTGTTTCAGTGTTTTAAACTCAAAATTATTCGTTTTGGTTTTGTAGTTAAAGAACTATTTCATTTTACAATTTTTAAAATCTTTGTGTAAAGTTTTTATCACTTTGACTAATAATCAATGTTTGAAAACTTAATCGACCGCTTTTAATAATTTCTTTTTCTCAATTACCATTTTTTTATTCTCAAAGTTGATCAAGATTAGTTTAGTTTTAGTGAGAGAAAGTTGATGTTAATATTATTTATGTTTTGAAGGTTTCTAAAAATAAAATAAAATAATTGGAAGTATGAGTTTATTTTCCTTTTTAGACTTAAAATAAATACGTATATGGAAATGAAAATGATATGGTCGGTTGGTCAGCACCGAAGATGGAGAACACGTGGAGACAAAGGGAAGGTGTTGCGTTGTCTCTCTGTCATGTCATGCCTTTCTTCTCTCCTTCGAATTCAATTACAATATAATAATAGAACGCAGAAAGATGCTCTGCCATGGAATGCTAATTCCTCATCTTCTACGCGTCAACTCTCTTCCTCTTTCCTATTTCTTTCTTGTCTTTGTCATCTCTTATCTCTTCACTCCATGCATTCCCCCATTTCCATTATTAACTCTTTTATTCTATCTTTCTCTTCCTTTTTCTTTTCAATCTATCACGCCAAAACTATATCATTTTTATCATGCCTTCAATCTGACTTACCAGTAAAATTTAAATAATACTGTAAGAAACTAGTAAAAGCTACACTTTAATCAGATCTAATACTCCTTTAAGTTATTTTGATTATTTTTTAAAAACTAAAATAAATTTATAGAAAACGGAATTAAAAATAATTATCTTACAAAAAGAAAATAGTACCATATTGAAATTGATTTTCTCCCGTAACATTTTCACCATCCCAGGATCTCTAAAAATTTTGGTATTATGTTAGAAGTAGTTTCGTACATGTACATCCTTCAAACTTGGGTGTTTGGACCCCCCCACCCCCCTTCTCGATTGTCGCGCCCACGTGGCTTCCTCGTACTGGCCCTCTTTCTTTCAGTGGTGGTTTTCCCATTAAAATAGGAAAAATAATGTTGTGGGTGGTTCAACGTTTGATCTTTGATGAAGAATGAATAAGATAGTATGAAAAACAGCACATTCAGAAAAGATAGTAAAGTCCATAATGGATGAGAGAGAGTGGGATTAGAATGACTTCCACGTCTTAATCTCGTATTGGTAGATTCAACCAAGAAAAAGGTTCCTTTCCTTGGGAAACGATGTAACAAAACTCAACCCAAATTAAATATTATTTTTTAGGAAAAGAAAGGGTTATGTGTCGATCCTGCAGGGGAAGAAATGGAAAGCCTGCTAATAATACATTTACTTTTTGTTTGAAAAGAAAATTTAAATTAAATTAAAAAAGAAAACATAGTCATCTGTTGCGTAATAGTTTATTTTCAAAAGCTGAAACTCCTCTCTCTCTCTCTCTCTTTCTTTCTCTTTCTCTTTCTCTCTCGTTTTATTTGTCAGAAATGAAAATCATAAACGAATTACTGTGTTCGTACTGCCTATAGTTCGTTAAGGTTTCTGCCCTTCCTTCCCTTTCCCTCACTTTCTATGCACTGTTTGTGAAGGTAAATGACTCAGGACTCATGTTACTGAATTAATGTTATGTCCTTTTTATTGTTTGTGGAGATTAATTAAACTGATTGTACTTTAGAGATGGAATCGAGGCATAGTTTGAGCATAGATGGTGAAGGCACAAAGTGGGTATGAGTTGAAATGACCAAAATAATTTGCTTTTGGTTTGATATGATTATTCATTTTGAGAGGGGTGGGTGGTGAAGGCTTCTTGTAGTTGACACATGAAAGGAACAGAAGAGGTGAAACCAGGGAAAGGAAATTTCAGTGGCCGGTGTGACTTGCCTCAGATCTAGGAAACCTCTATGATTATTTCTTTGCTATTTTTTCATTTTCCATGACCCCATTTCCCTTGTCTCCCTTTGTTAGAGAGAGACAAGGCATTCACCTTGTCAATTATTTGATGGTGGTCCCTTAAATAATCTGTTGTCTGGTTTTCCAGGGTTCGTAAGAGGAAGAAATATAAGGTTTTGGGTCATCAATTGTGCCCTCTTGGCTTATAAAATCTAAAACAGGTGAATTCAGAAAGGATCTTGTGGATTGTTTATTTGTTCTAGTCTTTGTTGCCCTAAGAATAATAGTAAACTTAGGGTTGAATTTTGTTACACTGTTTTATTTGGCTGATTTCTTAGGAGGTTGGTTCTGAACTCCTTAAATTTCTTGCCGTAGGAGCCTTGTTGGTGTTTTGATGTTGATTGAAATTATATCATAGAAAGGAGGCTTGAGGGAAAAGGGTGGAAAAAGGGGTTAAAGGGATAGCACCTTATTGGATACTGAAGGATAAGAAGACTATTGCTACAAGGCAAAGTAAATGGAGGAAATATCTTCGAGTGTTGCAGTACCTTTTACACTTGGTGTTGGAAATTTGATTCAAAAGGAGTCTGCAGTGACAACTCACATGGAGATAACTGGGCTGAAGCTTATGGCAAATACAGCAGCGGCTGCTTTGATGTTAAATCCTGCAGTGGATTGTTGTCAATCATTTTCTGTTGGAAGTGAAAGCCATGCAGATGTTAGTCTGCAGCACCAGATTAAGGTATCTGCAGAGGTAAAGGAGAATCAAGTTGGAGCTGCCCTTGTCTCAGAAATGGTTATTGAATGTGAGAGTAATTGGGTTTTAAATGAAAGCAATCATAAAGCTAGAAAGGAAGATGAACTAATGTTAGCTGTTGATTTTCAGTGTCTACATAGTTCAAGCTCTCAGTCTGTGGCTAATGGCCAAAGTGATCCTTACAGGGAGGAAGCAGTGCCGTTGATGACTAGTTATTCTGAAATAGAATCACCAATCATCACAAAGGTTAATGATGATGTTCATGGCAAGTCTGGAGTAAACGAGCCGTGTCCATCAATGAAGCCAGTGGATAACACAGTTTCTATTGCAATGGATATTATTAGTGAGGATCAAAGTGGATCAGATGAGTCTGATCCTAAATCAGCCGCTGTGCTTATTGACCAGTTGCCTGGGGAGAATAAAACATGGAGAACAAGCAACCAGAGTGCTTTGGAATCGAACAGTGGCTCTCTCTGGGGTTATTCATCAATTTGTGGAATGAGACCGGAGATGGAAGATGTTATCTCTGTTCAGCCTCAACTTTTTCAAGTTCCTTCACATATGCTGATGAATGACCATGTAAATGAGAACGAACAACAGTCACTAGCCCACTTTTTTGCTGTCTACGATGGACATGGGGGCCCTCAGGTATGCCTTTAAAACACTATCAAATTATACAAATTGTATAGTTGAAATTAATGTTTCACTGATGGGGTGTTGTTTTCATAGGTTGCTAACTACTGCCGCGAACGTCTTCATTCAGTATTGATTGAGGAGATAGAGGCTACACAATCAAGTTTAGCTGAAACAAATGGGAGATATGATTGGCAGGACCATTGGCAGAAAGCATTCATCAATTGTTTTCAGAGAGTAGATGACGAGGTTGGAGGAACTGGTGCAAGTAATAGTGGAAACAATAGTGGTGGATCTGAGTCTAATATTGAACCTGTTGCTGCTGAGACTGCTGGTTCCACTGCAGTGGTCGCGATTTTGAGTCAAACCCACATAATAGTTGCAAATTGTGGAGATTCAAGAACTGTCTTATACCGTGGAAAAGAAGCCATGCCATTGTCTTCTGACCACAAAGTAAGGCACTTCATTCTAGTTTCATAGTATTTTTGGTGAATTTATATTAGAAGCTGAAATTGACTGATAGAGGAAACTTAACTACCTGTTTTGCAGCCAAATAGAGAGGACGAGAGGGCAAGGATAGAAGCTGCAGGAGGAAGAGTCATACATTGGAAAGGATACCGAGTTCTTGGTGTCTTGGCAATGTCAAGGTCGATAGGTATGTGTCTGTTGCATGATCCCTAGAACATGATTGGTTTTCTTGCAACGTTATATCATGCAGGTTTATGTAATCAAATTATATTTTCAGTTCTACATATCTCTTCTAGATATTATTTATCATGAGTTTGTGCTGAAGTTGAATGCGAGGACAAACACTGTTTTTATACATGTCATTAATGCGTTTTGTTTTTAACTTTTGAAAGTCGTTAAGCAACATGTTTCTGCAGCAAGTGTTCTTGTATTGGTTATTGTAGCTAGTTTCTTTTAATCCGCGTCCAAGGGATAAATTATTTGAAACAATCATTAGCCATGATTGCAATCAATTTTTACGCGACAAGTAACTGGGATTTTCAAATTACATAAGAGTTACATGTCAAATGAAAATTGATTGGAAACACACACGGTAATGTTGAAGCATTTAATAATTTCTCGTGTCCGAAGGCATTAAAATTCAATTCCTTCAATAAATTTTCAGAACAGAAAGTGGCTTTAGTAGATTTCCTTCAACGTGATTTCAGTCTACAACTTTTTTGACACATAAGTTTCTTGTTCAAATAATCTCTGTAGACTAATTTTTCTTCTTACTCAACAGGTGACAGATACCTGAAACCATGGATAATTCCAGAACCTGAAGTCAATATTGTGCGTAGAGAGAAAAATGACGAGTGTCTGATTCTAGCAAGTGATGGTTTATGGGATGTAATGACAAATGAAGAAGCCTGCGAGGTTGCTAGGAAAAGAATCCTTCTTTGGCACAAAAAGTTTGGTGAAAACGGAGCAACAGGACATGGCCAAGGAGCTGATCCTGCAGCTCAGTCTGCTGCAGAGTATCTAACAAAGCTTGCCATCCACAGGGGAAGCCAAGATAACATCTCTGTAATTGTGATAGACTTGAAGGCTCAGAGAAAAATTAAGAGAAAGCCTTAAAGTGATGTGTTTCACCTGTGGAATATCTTCATTTTAAGCTATTGATTTATTGTATTTTAGAGTCATTGGCACTTTTTAGCCCCTCAGTTTTTCACCAGGGCTAAGTTATATATGCTAAGATTCGCACTGTACAAGGGTACATTCCGCTTGGTTGAGATGTCACTCAGTCTCTGTGGGAGCTTTCCAAGCATAACAATTTTTTTACTTTGAAAAATTATGAGCCAATAGTTTGTTAGTTAATCAATTGATCAGAAAATAATTTCTTACATATGCACCTTTGAGCCTCTCCTAAATTTGCTTGTCAGTAATTTGCACGAAATAAACCCCAACATCAATAAGGGAAATTGACAAGATATAACCAAATAAAAAGTCTCAAATATAACTTGAGAAACTGTTCAGCTAGCGTGAATCAAATTTGACGTTCATTTGGAACAGCTTGACAAAACTCTTATCTCATACAAATTTGTACATCAGATCATATTATCAGCAACTCATGCAAATTCCCATAAAATTCTAAACATTTTGTTTTAATTTCTTGACCCTTGCATCCGAGTTTCTCAACAAATTTTTGAACTCAATCACTCAACAAGTCAATACAGAATCTTTGACGCAACTCTGGGAGCTGGTTCTTTAACTCATCTGCAAACGCTCCTCATATTTGCAAACAGTGCTCTACAACAGAAAAGGAAAACTATGGTTACAAATAACTTCGACTGTTTAGAAAAAGGGTACTGAATATTAAGAAATATTAGTATCTGAAACTGAATGGTCGCATGAAAGCACATCCTACCAACGTAATTTAGGAAACGATATCTGAATTTAAAGTATCATCACAAAGGATCTTGTCAATTTTAAAAAAATGTGCTGCAAAACATTACCATAACAAACAGATTCCTTAATATAGAAGAAAAAAAATACTTTTGCCTGTGATAAATTAATAATTATACTCATATAAGGATCACCATTTAAGAACACGGATAGATTTCTAAATAAAGAACAAAAGAATAACCTTTTACTTAAATTTATAAATTATAACAGAGTCCAAGATTGGAACATACAAACTTTTATAAGGTAGCAAGAGGAGATCCTGCGTCGGAGAAGTAAGATGAAAGATCCACCTCCAAGTCATCATACAAGCTGACAAAAGGATGTCCCTGAAGTTTCAAACAGATGTATAGCATCAGAAAGACAATATTCTACATGGTATGTGTGTACCAGCAAGATTTGCACATACCATTAAGTCCTGAGCTGACAGTCGATCCTTTGGGTCTTTCTGTAGACTAAACAATGTGAAGATTGAAAAAGGAACATCAGTAGACACATTAAAGGCACATAGTAAAATAAAATTTCTGGCACAACAGCAAACAGAATAATGGTGGAAAATGCTAACTTTTATATGTTTAAACACAGGTTTGTTCAATGAAATTAAGAAAGATACCTTAAAAATACAAGTTAAATTAAAATTATGGTTCGCACATGTAGGTATGGCAAGTGCATTAGATTTCTACCTATTGCATTATCAAGATAAAAACACTCTGCAAAATGAAAAATCCTCAAGTATCCACACTATTTTCAGGATGACCTTTGGGAAATTGCTGAAGTTATGTTAGTGTTCAGAGTGTGTGTGGTTGTGTGTTTCATTTTCTTACGGTGGATGAAGATTCTTATCTGCACACAACTAGTATCATCTATAACAATTACCATGCTGAGATAAATGTGCAAAATTCTGTAGAAAATTGCTCAGATGGAGGAATAGGAGGAGGTTTGTCAACAATGGTTTCAATAAGCTCAAAAATGCTTTCCCATTTTTCACTTTGATCTTCTGGTGTATATGGAAACCGTCCCAAAGCACACTCAAGCAATATTAGTCCCAAACTCCATATATCACTTTTGAAGTTGTAGCCTCGCTGGCTTCCGTTGATTCTCTCTGGCTGTAAAATTTGCAGTGAATGTTATATGATAGGCAACGCTAGAAAATTTTGGTGGTAAATTGATATATATACTTGCACATATTACTCACAGACATATAGTTGTAAGTCCCAATGAAAGTATTTGCTTGACCAGATGTACTTTCCATAATTGCACTCACACCAAAGTCGGTAATCTTTACTTCTCCTGCATGATTTATTAACAAATTAGAAGGTTTTAAGTCTCTGTGGATAATATGCACTTCCTGGTGAAGGTAAACCAAACCCTTCAGCACCTACATCATTAAAAAAGAAAAAAAAAAAAAAAAAGAGAGATCAGATCTGGTTTGGGATTCAGTGAAAAGAATTATGGGTACAAGACTGAAGGGAAATTTCTTACTTCTTACCTGCTTACAGATGGCAGCAAGATAAGGCTCTGGAATTGTTTTAACTTTCTTCAGAAGATCAGCTAAGGAGCCCCCATCCATGTACTCTAAGATGATTGATATGACACCGTTTTCATAAAATGATTGATAGCAGACTACAACATAAGGACAATGTGCTTGTTGATTAATTTTCAGCTCTTGTGCAATCTGTTTGCGCATTGACTCCTCGATATTCATTTGAATTACCTGAATTGTGAACAATGCATACTTAAGTGACAAATATTACATATATCAAGGTTGTGAATATATCAGAACAGCAAGAAAGTAACTAGTTTATTAGCTTGTTAGGTATCAAAATATAATAGAAAGACAAAGGGTAAAAATGTTGTATAACTAACTATCTGATTGCAAAAGAATAGACCGAGACAATATAGAAAACCCTACCCTAGAGAATCACTCTCCGCCGGAAAATTCTCTCCCCTACCCATTTCGTTACCCACTCCAATATAGTCACTCACTCTATACCAATGATTCAGCATTTCCTTCCCCCAATTCCTGCATGGCACCCGCCCCTTCAGTTACCCCTCATTTACTCCAAGGCCCATGCATCCCCCGGTCCGCTATTATTCTCTCATCACCCTCCTTACTTCCCTTTTATCTTCTTTTATATGCATGCAAATTCGGCTTTTTACTAAGCCTGTCACAGTTCAATTACAAATAATATATTTATAATAAGCTGAAGTTGCTGCTATATTTTCAAAAACTAATAAGAAAAATATTTGGAAAGGAACGATCAAAGACTGAACTTTTCAATAATGAGGGGGGGATTGAAGGCCAGATGTCAAACACATGATTAAATAGTTTTTGTTCAATGATTCATTAATATATACAAGTTCCTGGAGAAGAGAACCACCTTCACTTAGAGAAGGGAAGAAGGGAAGAAGGGAAATTTAGATGTTAAACAGAGTTCAAAGGCGCAAAGTAGGGTGAACATTAAAATGATGTTCTGATAGGGTATTAGAGAAGGTTAGTTTAGAATATTAATCAGTTGGTCAGAGGCATTAATTAGATAGAAATAGGGGAGGTAGGAGAGCAGGATTCAAGAATAAGTGTCATTTGTAAATAGAGCATTAGCTTTTTCTGAAGGGGATAACCTTCGACGGAAGACCTTGGAAGAGAGATTTATCTCCCATTCCTGGTGCTTTTCATCCTATTCAATAAAAAAATTCTTTTCTTGCCCATTCCTATTCGTGGTTTGTATCATTTTCTGATATAACAAAGAAAGCACGAGAAACAAATTGGCAAGGAACTAAGTTTCTGTTTAAATGAAAATAAACTAGTCCTAATGAAATTAAATTATTAAGCACTAATTAAAAGAAATAACATTTTTTCAAACTTACACATAATGTGCCTTTGAGTGACAATCAAACATCCTTTCTCAAATGAAATGGATATAATGAAGAAGGGAATGACATTATCAAAAAGTTGATAAATGGGTAGGCAAAGTCAATACAAAAGGATAAATGAATTAGAAATAAGAGAACAGACTATGCAAATTCAAAGCATCGAAAGCAACATGCAGCAAGTGTACCTTCAATGCAAAAAACTGACTAGTCCATTTGTGCTGTACCAATTGGACTACCCCTCCATTTCCCTTTCCAACAACTTTGATAACATCTATGTCTGCCAAAGTTAACTGGTCGTCTGTAGGCTTGATTGGAGGTGGCTGAAAACATACCATGAATTTTAGAACCACATACAATAAATTGTCAGAATCCAACCAGCATGTGTATTGTGTATTTTGACCGGGTAAAATAATGCAGGAAGTGTCCAACATTCAAGTCTCCCCGATGCTGCTACTTTTATACCATAAACCACTTCTTGGAAGGAAGCAGAGGATCCAACATTAACTCAGAATGCAAACAATTTAGTGCAACAAACTTTGTTTTACTGAAAAACGAATTTAAAGACTCAATTTGTCTGGTGGCTCATGAATCGTATGACTTGTGCTGAGCACAGTTTCACTATATAAACTTGAAAATTCTCCTCCATTTGATTAAGGACACTACAACATAAGACAAGAAATATAGAACATCGTTAACTAATCTGGTTCATCTTGAAAACAGTTGCAAAGGATAGCCCCATCTCCACCACTACCACCACAACAAACAACCAACATAAACAAGAAAATAAAGGCCAGGGAAAACAGCAAATAATCCACCTCACAATTTTTGTTACTCATTTCAAAACATACAATACTCAACTTAGGTTCGAAACCAGTGAACAAGGAATCTACAGAAAAATTAGGAATCCCTTATTACAAGGCATTTCATCAGATCCAAAAGATCAAATGCAAGAAAAGAAACAATTGAGCAGTCGGAGTGGATATATACTGAAACAAACAAATAAACAATTTGCAGGAGCAAGAATGCAAAAGAATGCACAAAAAGATATGTTCTTTAAGAAAAGAAAAGGTGAGAGAAATATGTTACAGCTTCCACATCATTCTGAGGGACAATTCGAACTCCATCCCTGTTGACAAGCAGATCCCCATCCTTAAAAGTCCCACTTTCAGTCCTGCAACACCCCCACATACCAACAATTCCATTTGGTCAAAAGCCATGCATAATTAACCAATCACATTCCCAATCGCACACAACACAGAGAGAGAAAGGAAGAGACTCACAGGAACTTGGCAAAATTAGATTGATCAGAGACAGGAACTGACAGTTTGAGACCAAGCCCCAAGTTTCCTTTCTTCATGATTATGGTACTCCAATGGGGTTCACTTCAAAAACTCTGACACCGAGTCTCACTAGGTTTTCAAAGAAAAGAAAATCTTTCTAGTTAGACTTTCTCTTTCTGCGTGTGTATATTTAATCAAGACTTAGTACAACAGTATATATAATTAGTGGCAGTATTTTTAAAAGTTAAAAATGATAAAATGAAAATTCTAAATTTTGTGATTGGTTGGCAAATAGAGCAGTCACCATTGACAAACTATGGATTGAAGAAAGAAGCAGCTTTGAAGATGGAACTGTTGTTGACTTTTCACACTATTTTTCTTTGTTTACCAGGGTCCCACACTTTTCTTTTTTCTGAAAACAATATCAATATTTGATTTATGAGGTTTTTCTTACACAAATTGAATTTTATTTTTTTTACTAAAAATATATGAAAAGGTGTTAGAAAATTATAAAAAATATTTTTTATGTACGCATATGTCTTAATAAAAAATTATTAGTTTTTCATTTAGTGGTTTTAGAACCCTAATTAACATTTTTCTTTCTGATAATTCTAACCATTTTATAGGCAAAAGTTAACTACTAAAATGAATTTTTTCTAATAAAAGGTAGAGGAATATTTGTAGAGCTTATTTATTAATAACATAAAAGAATTATTAATATTGAAGTTCTCTCCTTTATTTTTATGTACAAACATGTCTAAATTTAGATTTCAGCGAAAACATTGGGTGAGTTGTGTGCTTGTATTATTCAAAAAACAATTTTTTTAATAAAATAAGTATATTATTGTTTTTTTATTTATTTGTCTAATCTGTTCATTTTAAAAAATAAAAAACAAATTGAATATATTTTTAAATAATAACTTAAAAAAGAAACATATTTATTCTCTTATTTTAAATTTAATCATGTTAGCCCATTAAAATTCATTTAAAATGTACTCTTTTGAATAATACCATATGAATATCAAATGAATGATCGTATAACAGTTGATATTTGTTTGTGGAATTGTATGTGGACGTACAAATGAAATAAAATCGTGGAGGCTTGGACAGTTGTTGAGATGACGAGTAATGTACTGTTTCTCGCTTTCTTCAATCCCTTATCTTATTAATATGAACCGTCAACCTCTTCTTTCTTTTCAATTTTTCTAAAAGTTTATTTATTAATTTAATTTCTTAAAAAAGTTAAATACTTATTTTATATTTTAAAATAGTCAATATTTTTCAATAAATACATCATTTTTAACACGTCATTGTTGAACAATTTGTGACGTCTGTTTCTTTGATACCTTATTATTTAATGTCAAGATAAAGTTTGTGTATTCAACATGCTACATTTAAGAACGTTGAATTTATTTATTTTCATTATTTTGAGAACAACTTCCAACTACACCTTATCTTCCATTTTCGCTTAACCTTCAATTAATGATAATTTTTAACGAAGAAACTGATAAACACTGTGATTGGAAAATCTTAATTGGAGAGTGTGTGTAGATCACATAATTGGCCTTCAATCATTATCATGTGTGCTGTTTTAAAATAAAAAATATTATGTGCTGTTTTAAACACAGTGTTTGTTTGAACTGATTTGCGATGAAATACTGTTCACGACGACAGAAGCACGAGATTCACCCACATTTGGTTAAACAGATTTGCGAAGAAATGCAGACGAGGAAAAGGGGGAGAGGGGAGAGAGACTTTCTTCGCTAATCTGCGAAGAAAAGAGACGAAAGTCTGCTAGAGATAAAGAAATGTCTAACATACCCTCTTCCATATGATAGCGGTTAAATCTTAACCGCTATTATAATAGCACTTGTAATAACGGTTAAAACTTAACCGCTATTATATATCACTTCTAATAGCGGTTAAAACATAACCGCTATTATATATCACTTCTAATAGCGGTTAAATTTTAACCGCTATTATATATCACTTTAGATAGCGGTTACAGAGGAACCGCTATTATATTCTCCAATTATGATCGATCATTTCTTAAATCTAATCGATCAGAATCATATTTCGCTCGAGCGAGATATAGTCGCTCAAGCGAAACACAACCCGAGACTCGAAGAAATTAAAATATGGTTGTATATGATAGCGGTTCCACTGGAACCGCTATCTAATATACACTTTAGATAGCGATTACAGAGGAACCGCTATTATATCCTCCAATTATGATCGATCATTTCAAATTATGATCGATCAGGATCGCATTTCGCTCGAGCGAGATATAGTCGCTCGAGCGAAATGCAACCCGAGACTGAATCTCAACACATTTGGTTGAATATTATGTTTTTAAATTTGCTATTAGAGAAAACCTTTCAGAATTCAAAATGTTAAATACTTTTAAATATTAAAATTAACTTTATCAAAAGTTAGGAAAACAAAATTTATCCAAAAGAGTTCAAAAATGTATAAGAGTATTCTCAATTTTGAGTTTAATTATATTGTTCATTCTCAAAGTAGAAATTTATATTGTAGTTATTGAATTTACATTTTGTGATCTTCTTAAAATTAGCATCAATAACATTAGACTTTACATTTGATTCATACCTAACTAATTATAGATTAAAAGGAAAGTGGTATAACCATGCATTTTACTTTTCTATTTACCTTATTCTTTTAATTATTTTATATAATAATAATCAAAATATTCACATGAATATGGGCATTTTCGAAAATAATATTATTGTATTATTGTTAAAATTAGCATCAATAACATTACACTTGATCTTCTTAATTATATTGTTCATTCTCAAAGTAGAAAATTATATTGTAATTATCTTCAATTTATTAAAAATGTAATTAAATCTCTATTTTCTTAAATTTTTTTTGTTTCAAACTTCTCAATTCTACATTTTTGTAACTTCTATCATTATATTATCATCCTCATCTCCTCCCATGTTCTACTTTATTTTTACAATAGTTAATATTCTTAAATAATCTATATTTTTCATTATAATTTTTTAATATATATTTTGAAATTAATCAATTCTAAGCTATTATTTGAAAAACTAATCAATTCTAATCAATAATTTAGAAAAATAATCGATTAGAATTAATTATTTGAAAAATTATGAAATATGATCGATCATTTCGAAAATCTAATCGATCAGAATCATATTTCGCTCGAGCGAGATATAGTCGCTCAAGCGAAACACAACCCGAGACTCAAGAAATTAAAATATGGTTGTATATGATAGCGGTTCCACCGGAACCGCTATCTAATATACACTTTAGATAGCGATGACGAGGAACCGCTATTATCTCCTCCAATTATGATCGATTATGATCGATCAGGATCGTTTTCGCTCGAGCGAGATATAGTCGCTCGAGCGAAATGCAACCCGAGACCGAATCTTAAAATATTTTTTTGAATATTATGTTTTTTAATTTGCTATTAGAGAAAACCTTTCGGAATTCAAAATGTTAAATAATTTTAAATATGAAAATTAATTTTATCAAAAATTAGGGAAACAAAATTTATCCAAAAGAGTTCAAAATGTATAAGAGTATTCTCAATTTTGAGTTTAATTATATTATTAATTCTTAAAGTACAAAATTATATTGTAATTATTTTATCTCAAGTTAATGTGATGAGACGATCATCAACATTTCAACATTCGAGTCAGATATATGGGACATCTTCGTCTCTCCCAAGTTGTTCATGTTCTTGAGTGGAAGTGATTGAATGATCTGAACTGGAGGACTTGATCGCAAAAGATGAATAACATTATAATTATTTGTTTGAAGAGCATTAATGTGCATAGGTTTATAATTTTAGTAATGTTTCATTTAATTATTATTCTATTTTCACTGTATTTTATATTTGTTTTAAATAATAATGTACAATTATATTATTAGTTTTCATAATTATTTGTTATTATCAGATCAATATTAATTATTATTTTATATTTTATAATTATTTAATTATTTGTCAAATAATTTATTTAATATGTCAACATTATTTGAATATGGATATGCAATGTACATAATTTTGTAATTGTTTATTTATATAATTTTTAATAACTATCTAAAAAAAGTTAATTTTTTAAATTTGTTTCCAATTACAAACACTTTTAATTTTGTTTTTTCTTTTAAATATATAATCAATGTTAAAATATGGATAATTAATTAAAAATTTATATTTATAATCATTTGAACCTTATTTTATACAAAGGGTAAAATGGTAATTTTCTTAAATAATCAACATAAAATTATAATTTTTATATCTCATATCAATCAAATCATTCACAATTTCCCATAAACTTTCCTTTCACTTTTTAATCATCTCCATTTCTCTTCAAATCCCTCCTTTTCCACTCTCTCAATTTCACTCTCTCAAATCACTCCAACCAAACAAAGCCTAAGACTTTTCTTTGGTGATTTTTGTTTATCATGAATACTGAACAAGTAATTAAACCTTTAATTAAAGGTTAAAACAAATCACAAAATGAAAAATGTTCAAACCAACCACATGCACATTAATTGGTTATTTCAATATCAAGTATGATTCAGTGAGGGACTTGGGGATTGGTCCCCAACCATTGATCTCATTCAACAAATTAAAATTATTGTCTTCACATTGGTCCAACATTATTAGATCTATTAAACTTTGAACAGGTATATTATTCTTTAAAATTAGACATATGTTGGACTTTTTGTCCACACATTAATTTTTTTTTTCAAATTTTTTTATCCATTACACTTTCATATTACAGTGTCTATTTTTCTCAACTAACCCTTGGAAATCATGTGTAATAGTTTTCTAAGTAATGGAAAAAAAACTTTGAATTTATACTAAAATGTTATCAAAATGTGTTTATTTAGAAACTAAAATACTATTTATTTAATACTTTAAATCACTTTTAATATTTTTATTTTATTTTATTGAACACTGAACAAAAAAAAGACGATAAAGTACCTTGCAAAGAAATTGAAATTTGAGCTTTTCAAAGATTATGCCCAAAACAACATTTTCAAGTACTGGTGTTAAAAAAAAAAGAGATTAAAATGAATT